AAATAAAGTACAGATACACAAAAAATCTACTTAAGTACAGTAAAAAGGTATTTGTACTTCATTACTTTACAACTCTGGAAAAAAATAACTTAGGTAAAAGTAAAATTACATGAACAGAAAATGACTTTGGTAAAAATAAATTTTACTGATGAGAAAATTACTCAAGTAAAAGTCATAAAACTTTACAAAATTGGAAAAGTAAAAGTACTTTTACACACTCTAAGATATAAACTGTTAAATTTACTGAACCAGGTTGAGTAAATTGAGCAATATATGTATATTCTTTGCTCAGTTTACTCAACCTGGCTTAGTGGAGCCAGCTGACATGACTTTGTTGAGTAAATTCAACGCTTCATTTTTTAGAGCAGAAACATCTTTCATGAGTTCAAACGTATTTAATTTTGTAACAAGTAGGTGTTACATTTTAAAGTAAAGAAGTAAAAGTATCATTTTGAGCTTTAAAATGTAATGAAATAAAAGTAAAAGTAGCTATTTAAAAAAATAATTGGTAAAATTACAAATCTTCAAAAAAGCTACTTAAGTAAGGGAATGAAGTAAATGTACTTAGTTACTATAATCCTCTGCCTTATACCAACCAAAGCATCATATCTGACCCAAATATTACAGCAATTTAAATGTTATCCTACTTTATTCTACTTTATTACAGTAATTGAAGCAGATTCATCGCACAAGTCTTACCTTCTTCTTGAACCTTCTCTACTGCTCTGGTGATTTCTGCTTTCAAAGCCTCGGTCTCATCTGCAGACACTGAAGCAGACACTGGAACAACTGTTAATCGACAAGGAAACCGTTTAAACTCGTCTCATCACTAATATTTTGGTGACAAAATACAGAACTTGCAACAGCCGTCTGACCTGTAAGCTGAGTCACAGCGCTGGCTGCAAGGGCCTCAGTGGCCAGGGTGACGATGTCCTCCGTGGAGACGGTGACTATTTTGATCTCGTCAGGGGTGGATGCTCCTACGCACTCTTCGTCCTCGTCCTCCATGGTCCTGTCTACCACGAGCCGCTTCATGCCGGCTTTGCCGCGGTGAACGGTCTTGACGTGGGAGCGCAGGTTGTCGACGCGATTGAAGCCTCGGCCGCATTTATCGCACAGGAAAGGTTTCTCCCCTGAAATAACAAAATGAAGRAAAAGAGTTACTAACGATCTTAGAGGGAACAGTGTGCGCTCAGCTGGACGTAGACGTGGTTTAAAAGMGTGAAAATAAATCTATCCATTCCCACAACAACCCCAGATCCTTGTGATTGTTTGAGTCAAAGGTTTGTCCTCACCTGTGTGAATGATAATATGTTTGGACAGGTCTCCCACGTTGACAAACGCTTTGTTGCACATCCGACACTTGTGTGGCCGCACGTTGTCGTGATGGCGAATGTGATTGGCCAGTTGACTCGACTGCACAAACCTGTCCAGAAAAAAAAAAAATCAAAACACAATAGATATTCTCTCTTTTCCCCTCAAAAAACAAAAAGCTAAATTTCAATCATGATCATGTTGTTTCATTATTGACATATCTGACCTTTTACCACAGCGTTCACAGACGTAGGGTTTCTCTCCGGTGTGCTGACGAACGTGAGCGATGAGGGAGCTGGCCTGGGTGAAAGCCTTGCCACAGACAGAACAGACACAGGGTTTCTCTCCTGCAACGTGAAATAAAGTCTCACTACTCAGGGATGACGTCAACGTTCATCTGATGTTTCTGACTTCAAGACATTTCTCAAAACAGCGTGTCTGAATGTGATGGGAGAGTTGTACAAATACTTTGTTACTGCATTTAAATAGAATTTTTGGGTTTCTGTACTTTGAGTAATTATTTTTCAGTCTACTTTTTATT